GTATTAGAAACAAATACAATGGACAGATTACTCATAGACTGTATTTTTAAACTCTTTTTTATTAGAAACAGTAGAATGGACGGAGCACTTTCATGGCTAAGTAGTATGAAAAACATACTGGTAATAGCAGCAGTTTTTAGTAAATGTCATTCTTAATCCCGAGCAGGACATTTGCTTCCTTCATCTCAAAAGTGGAAGTTTAGAAGACTGGAAGTCAAAACTTACATGAGATTAGATTTAGCTGAATCAAATCTAATCTAATCTGTGTCAATTTTTTCTTCAAATAAAGCTCGATAGTGAAACATGCATTTCTATATAGGAAGTGATATTTATGGAAAATTACTTGTGAGTAAATATGTGATCACATTTTGGAAGTAATAAAATGTATCGTAGAATGCGAACATCTAGCTGTTTGAGCTGCAAGTTTGGTGAATTGAATCCCTACTTTAAAATCAAATACATGTACATGGCTAATGTTATAATATGTATATATATATATATATATATATATATATATATTAGCATGAAATATGTATGATCTAAGCTTATGAAAAGAAATTTGTCCAGAGTATCGATAATAGGGAAAGAGGCTTTATGAAAAAAGAAAGATTTTGGAAAATGTTCTATGTGTCTATTAAAGACTTTACTTTTGTATTTCTATATTATTTTTGCTCTTTATAAGTTTAATATATTACGTATGCTCTATATTTGCAGTGATGAAAATGGTTATCTGAAGGGGGATGCTATGTATTTATAAGTGATTTTTTAAAGGTGTTCAGAGAAGGAGTCCAGTATGATGTTACCTCATAAAGAAATACCTTCAACTGAAAACTTGTCAAGATTGGACGTTAAGATCTCTAGCCATGTCTAGCAGCACAACATGTTTAGAAGCCACCTAGATGTACATTACATATTTACGTTTTCTATCCCTATTTTAGGTCTAAGTCAGTGTTAAACATAAAATACACATATATGTTGGTTTTGTGTGTGCTAAAGATTAATTTTATGAGTTTGAGATTGTCATGTCAAATTTTAGGCCATTGTTTTCAATGTACAACTTTATAACTTGGATTTTCATTTGTTGGCTCAATTTAATGACTGTCAAGTCTCAAAGAATGGTAATGATATCCAACTTCTTTAGGAAGTACATGGGGACATCATGTCATTACGTCCTTGTTTTCGCAAAGTGACGGTAGTGAGGAAAATCGTAACGCAAAGTGAATGCAAATTTGTTTCACTACCGTCACTTCGTGAAAACAGCGACGATTAGTTGATATTCAGTATGCAGAAATAGTTTGCAATTAGCTTTATGAACATTATTTCGTATTTTGATAATGAAATGTCCATGTAAAAGATGTATGGTGAAGAAAATATAGATGTTGTTACATGAATGTGTCATTGTAATGGAGAAATTGAATTATACACTGAAAAATACTGAGCTAGCACCAGGTTGAATAGAATTACGAAGAAGAAATATATGGATGATCTCATTTGCAGACTTGAAAATAAGGATATCTTTATGAAAATCATTTCTACACTTAATCATTTTTATTAATAATATATAGTTGACTAATAGAGTTTAGAGGAAATGAAACTATGTGAGTCTACCACTGAAATAGAAAAGAATAGATTATTCAAAGTTGACAGAGATGTTAAAATAGTAGGTGTTATGATATACGTTTAATATGTTATGTTTGCATATTCAGCGGTTATTTATTTTTCATATTGTAAGAACAAAATATGAAATATTGGACATGGAAATACATGCATTATTGGTTTTGAAATCAATATTGTAATGAGCCAGAAAATTTAACATGTGGTATATTGTGAAGACAAAAATATAATGCCATAGAATTACTGGTTCACATGTAAAAGCAGAGTAATGTATTAGACTCCAATTCACTTGCATTTATATTTGTATTGTAAATGATTGAATTTGAAGGCTGTTAGTACAAATAACTAATTATGTCATCGATTTTCTAATTATAACTTTGAATTGCATATATCATTTTCAATGTATGTGTGCGTACTTGGCATTATCTGCCTCATCAGATAAAAATGCAATCGTTGTTTTTACTCTTACAGGAATGCAGAATTCTGTGTGTGAAAGTAGTATAATGTATCCTGTATTAGCTTTCTTCCATTCTCATAGAATTTACAAAAATTAAGAACATATTAAGGACATCTTCACTCTTTATTCCTTGTGTATCATGTAATTGTGTCACGTATAACTCTGAATGTGACTTCGGTATGCATACCATGTATACTTCAAGTGATGATAAAGTTGTATCATCACGTTAGTAGAGCAGCTGACAAATTGTCTGCTTGAAATGATGTCATCGTCCGGCTGTCGAGGTGCTTTTTAAGAGCCTTGCTTGGCAGCACCTCATTGTACCTAGGTTGATTTTGTATGCAGCGCCTATGCATCATTATGTTGTAGCAAACGTTTGTTCTTGCTTGAATTACTCTCTCTTGCATTGGCGTGGTATATGCATGATTTGAGTGGCCAGTGAGATTTTAAAAGGCGCCCTCAACCAGCCAGACGATGCCATTACTGTAATGTTTTGCTGCAGATGGGAGATTCCTTTTTTATCCTGATATGCTGCATAGAGTATACACAAACATGTGATGCACAGTAGACTTTGATTCACTCATAATTTATAAGATTGGTTGAATAAATTGCAGACTCCAGAGTATCTATGATGAAAAGAGGATGTTGGGAAACTAGAATATATTTAGATAATGTATATCTGTCTATTTGCTGTCTATTTTTTAAAAGTGTACAAATTACGATTAATAGCTGATCATGCTGTAACATTTCTTGAGCCTTGTATTGAACCAAAGGAGCCTATGTCTTCATATTTAAAGCTCTAATAATCTAAGTTTCTTATTGATCTATTAAGAAAAGATTCTATAGAGAAGTGATTCTTACGTGGGTTGGAATGAAATTGAAAGCAATAGGAAACATGTTTTCCTTGTGAGTGTATTCACAACGTAAAATATTGAATCATCTTTATTAAAAGGCATGTAGATTTCATGTATTAGATAATGTTTTATTTGAGTTTCATACTTTTGAAAACCATTGCTGGAGGCACAAACCATGTCTTGTCATGTGTATTGATGAACATAGGAATAAAAGATATACAAAGAACTTGTGTGTTCTGAATGCTCTTCCATTTGCATATTCTTTCATCTCTCTGTACTTATATTTCCCCCTACCGGTACCTTAACATGCCCCTCCCCTGTTTCAAAAAGTATGTCTCCATCAGCTCGAGATTGCCAAATAGCCCACCATTCCGATTTGGGATATGAGCCAGAATTTACAAATGGCCTCTTCATCAGCTCGAGACTCGACCTCGAAACTCTAGCTCGAGATATTTTGCTCAGCGTTCCACATAGTGCAAGTCTTTGGGCTGGTGAAGACGCACCGGGCAAATAGCCGATATTTTGCAAGCTAGCCCAAGATAGCCCAAGATATCCTGGGATGATTATCTCCACCAAATATCCCGCTAATTGCAATTGCGGGCTGATGAAGACGCAAATTAGCTGGATAATTTGCAATCGGGATAGTTAAAATAGCAGGATATTTGGCAATCTCGAGGTGATGAAAACAGGCTTAACGAGGCAGGCTGTGTTACAGTGGAAAACACACTGTCCCTGGTTAGGATTTTAAATGGAGGCCCTGTGTAGTGGAGAATCATCCCTTTTGCATGTTAAAGCCCCACTGCACTAGTTTGGCTGGGAAAAATTAGACCACCCAGCTTGGTCACAGACAAGTGGTTATCTCATCAAATCAGCTCTCATAAGAAAAACTGTCATTGCTTAGGCATTGTTTGCTATATATAGGGCGCAAGTAGCTATAAGAAGCTATAAATGGGATTATTTTATACATATTCAAACTTTTTCACCAGAGAACATGATCGCAGCTACTTTAAAAAGAAAATCTAAGGCAATTTCAGAGGCCTTGCGCATCACCTTTTGAAACGTACGAACATGACAATGACATATTACATAATCATAACATGATTTCTATGGGACATACAATAGGATATTGAAATTGCCCTTGAGTTGATAATATTTAAAGTAGATGCTTTCCTATTACAAATTCGATGTCAAGTAAAGCAAACTATTGAGCATGAAGTCATCACAAAGGTATCTCCAGCCTCCATTTGTTGCATCTCTGATATTACTTTGTTTAGATCAAAACTAAAAACCAATCTAATGGAAAAGGCATATTCAACCTAGTTCTTAAATTGTCACCTTACCTTGTTATCTTGTGTTTGATAATTTCACTTTTGTTGAGTCTGTTCTCTTGTCATTTCTCTGTTTAGTTTTACTTGCATCAATATTGTAAAGCGGTTTGATATAAATCAGAATGTAAACAAGAAGTTATTATTATTATTATTATGAAGAAGAAAATCAACAGATGCTGTTATATCATTTGTTATGACCTTTGTCTCCTGTGTACATTGTTTCCTCTGACCATCTCCTTGCTCTGACTTTCTGTTCGTTCTTGTGCTTTATCTGACCTCTTGTGAACGCAAGATAAAAAGGAAAGCTTGTGTGTCTTGTTATTGAAGACTGTTCTCATTTCTTTTCTCTCTCCCCTATACAGCAAATCATGAAGGTTGTTATGATATTTGTTATGACCTTTGTTTCCTTCACCTCTTGTGTATATTGTTTAACTCTGACTTTCTGGTTTTTCTTGTGCTTTATTTGATCTCTCATGAACGCAAGATAAAAAGGAAACCTTCAGTATGTCTTGTTGTTAAAAACCATCCTTCTTTTTTCTCTCTCCCCTATACAGCAACTCATGAAGGTAGCAATGAAATACAACCTGGACCTTTATTTCCTTCACCTCTTGTGTATATTGTTTAACTCTGACTTTCTGGTTTTTCTTGTGCTTTATTTGATCTCTCACGAATGCAAAATAAAAAGGAAAGCTTCAGTATGTCTTGTTATTGAAGACTGTTCTCATTTCTTCTCTCTCCCCTATACAGCAAATCATGAAGGTAGCGATGAAATACAACCTGGGTCTTGACATCCGAACGGCTGCCTACGTGTCTTCCATCGAGAAGATCTTCACTACCCACTACCAAGCTGGTCTCTCCTTCACATAGACTTCTTCTGAAATGATATCTCAAATTTAGATAATTGCAATTTTGTCAGATTAAGTTTAATTTCAATATGTTTTGGGGGGTTTTAAAAATAAATCAAGTGCAGTTTTACATTTTTCGGGGGCACTATGTTGTGTCATCTACCGTTGACTATTACAAATACTATTGCATAATAACTTTATTTATAATGTCTTATAGATTTTGGGTTATTTGGTGCTTATTATTTAGGTAACCTATCTTTTTATTGACATTTAGTTTCACTTTCTTTTGAGAACCACATCATGCAAGTTCTCAATATTTAATATTTGTCTGTCTACTCCCTGTCAGTCAATGTATGTAATTGCTATGTTACCATGGTACATCATTTGCTAAGAATGATCAGTATCAATTTAAAGGAGAAAAAAATTACAGTAAAAGAGAAATGGGATAATATTATCTTTTAATTGACACATAATCTCAATTGTTTTTGAGAAACATATCGCACCAGATACTCTGAAGAATTTATAGAGTGTTATCTGACTTGTCCGCAAAGTGAGATATTGCTACAACATTTCAAAATGTAGTGCATACAATTGATAAATTAAATTAGAGATTAGTCAAATATAAAGAGATTGATATTGAATGCAAAATCAAATTATATGAATAATTAAAAATATATGAAATTTTATTGTCTATATTAATGCTCCTTCTTGAACCACTTTATATCAGTATTAGTTCATTTCCAATAGAGTCATAGTAATGATATCTTAATACAAAGTCATTATAAACACAGTATTGTCTTTATAATGTTGGAATTGTGTGTGTGTTTGTGTGTGGTTTCAAACAGTACAAACTTAATAGTAGCCCAAAGAATATAACAACAATGCTGTGTCTTTATTATGTGTGTGTCTTGCACATATTTCTAAATTACTTTTATTTTGTGAAATATTACTTTAAAAAGATTGACAGTAAATATGAATAGTTGTGTGTCATGAACTGTAGTATGATACATGTATGTTTTATTCTCACTTCTTTTTTTAAATCCTATAACATTTCTTCATGGTGTTATGGAAAAGTTCTGCTACTTGTACTTCACAGAATTAGCAGGAGAGAGTAGGGCATCTCCTTGCCAACTTAAAACATATATAACATCAGATTAACAAGGTTCTTAACAAGACTTTCAATGTATGATGATGTTGTATCATTGAATTGCTGGTATTTTTAACCTTTCCTTTACCACATTTAATGAAAAAACAATGGAGATGTACACTCATGCATAAATCCTACTTTGCCACAGTCTTTTTAAGTATTCAGGCACTGAATGAGAACCACTTCCCTTCAAAATAATATTCAGAATATAATGCAATGTATAGTTGTGTAATATAGAAAATGTATCATTATCTGTTTGTTATGAACACCTATTATATTTAATTCACACTACAATCATAAATTACTTTAAACCGCACGTTTCATTTCTTATTTCATTGTTGGATATTTAGGTGTAAAAGGTAACAATGGAAATGGGTTAACACACTATTTCTATATAGTGCGCAATGTATGCTGCCTTTGGTAATATCATGCTGCCTTCAGTAATGTGTACTAATGAGGTGATGTGAACTTGAAGAAATAAAATGATGGAAATAGGGGACAAAATTGATTTCCTTCTGATTCGATTGTTACCAACTTTTGCATGCAGATCTATGTGGAGGTGTCAGGGTCGAGTGGTTTAAATACTTTACTGGAAATGCGAATGTTATAGGTTCAAGCCCTGGTTCGTCACTGGTGTCCATTTTGCAAGATATTAATTCATATTTGCCACTCTCCATCCGCCAGGAGTTAAATTGGTAACAGTATTCATGCTGTGAGCACCAAATTCGGTAGCCTAGCCTGGAGCCGGGGTATTACTGGAGAGCATTCACCTGGACACATGTACTCAAAACAATATATATATATATATATATATATATATATCTATATATATATATATATATATATCTTTAATTATAATTATTTAATGGATGACTAATAGGGGGAGCCTGGGGGAGAGATGGTGAGAAGGGCCAATGACATGCTTAAAAAAGGACACTGATATATATTTGTTTTAAATTTTAAATTAGGTAGTTTTTTCCACTTTGAATTTTTTAACCATGGTGTAATGCTTCTCTGATCGTCGGGGGCAGATGATAGTGATAGGGAGAAAGAAGATGGAATATAAGTACTTTGTTAAGATGTGTGAAATAATCACATGAGATGAGAGAGTTGTTTAAAAGACGTACATGTTGAGAGCAAACGAGAAAGGGTTGAGAAAGGGCTCAGAGAGAGAGAGAGAGAGAGAGAGAAAGAAGGGGGGGGGGGGGGGGGAGTGGAAAGCATTGAACAAAAACAACTAACTCTGAAGTTGTTAACATTCCAAGGGAGAGGTAACAATCCCAATTTGCACTAAAAGAGAATGATCAGGCCTTCAAATTTCCATCTTGTATTGCGGTGTAATATTTAAGTGCATGAACATTTAAAATTTAAACGCACACACACGCACGCATACCCCCCCCCCCCCACATACGCACATAAAGGAAAACCACAAAGTATACATGGAGTTATGTACACTCCATTTTTATGGATGTTTCACCCCAGTTCCTCTTCAAATAGCTTTTCAATGTGCTCAATCGAGCCTGAAATAGGCATAAAAGCCAAGGGTTGCAAATTAACCAAATCTGGTTCTGATTGCGGAAGTGTGATTAATAAAACATGTGTGGCCAAAAGTGCCCCTTCCTCTTTTCTTTGATAAGTGCCTCTTTTATTTTGACATGTGCCCCTTTTCCTTCGACAAATTCTCATTTTCCTTTGCTATAAGTATCCATTTTCCATTCACATAAGTGCCTTTTGTAATATCTAGCAAGTGCCCCTGTTCACTTTTGATAAGTGCCCCTTCACCTCTGACAATTTCCTTTTTCAAATCTGAGAGGTGTCCCTTTTAATTTGACAAGCACCCATTCCCCTTCTGATAAGTGCTCTTTTCGTCCCTTTTCACCTCTAATAACTGCCCCTTTTATTATAACACGTGCCCGTTTTCCTTTTTAATAAATGCTCTTTCCAGGCTTCTTATATAGGTGCCCCGTCTCATTAATACCCCTTTTAATCGCTGATAAGTGTCCCGTTTATTTAAACCTATGCCCCTTTTTCTTTTTAATAAGAGCCACTTCCCCTTTTTCGTAAAAGTCCCCTTTCACCTCCGATAAATGTCCCTATTAAAATCCTTTTCTTTCGACAAATGCACATTTAATTTTTTTTTATAAGTGCTCCTTTTTCATTCTAATAATTGCCCCCTTTCACCTCTGATAATTTCCCTGTTATCAATGATACGTGCCCTGTTTTCCTTTATAATAAGGGACGTAAGCCTATCCCCATTACATAAATGCCCCCGTTTCACCTCTTATAAATGCCCATATCAAAATATGATGGGAGCCCCTTTTCCGTCGACAAATGCATTTCCCATTCTCATAAGTGCCCTTTTTCATCCCTCGTGAGTGCCTCTTCTTTAAGGTGTAAGAAGTGCCCCATAGTTCACCTCTGATAACTCCCATTTGTACTTTGACACGTGCTCCTTTTAATATCTAATTCTCTAATAAATAAACTCTAATCTCTTTTGATAAGTGTCCCCTTTTCCTCTCATCATTAAAATAATGTGCCCATTTCAAGCGTCTAAGGGCAGTTTTCCTCTAAGCTCGCGCTCACTCGCATTATGTTACGAGGTCTTTTCAGTCTTCCGTTATGAGAATGTGCTTGTAACCCCACCAGGATTGGGGTTTTCCCTCTTTATTAGATGTAATTTTTCGAACTGCAACCTCATAAATCTTCAAATTTGTCATTGATCGCTTCGCTCGCTCACAAATGAATATTCAGATCACCACACTCAACTGCATGCAAAGTATGATGCTAAAGCAATATCTTGTATGATGTATAAAGAGAAACAAATATTGAAATCATCCCTGATAAGGTATTCACAATGTAGGGGTATATACCAATATCTAAAAAATTGTGTATTTTCGCTTTGAGATTTTCTTGAAAGTGCCCTTGAATGGTGCCTTCCCCTTCCACATTTTGGAGGTCGCTCCGCCGCCTTGAGTTCAATATGACTCTGACAACCATTTTCTCCAGCCCCTTTTTTGTTGTTGTATAATTTTATGCATCTTTCTCTTTTTCATTCAGCATGTGTCATATTTCTCTCTTTCTCTCTATTCCTGCCTCTTTATTTTGCCTGGCCCTATCCCTGATAATGTTATGAAGTATGCCTATAGTTAAACCGTTTGTAGCAATTCTGGTGAATTAATGTTAAAAAAAATCTCAAGAAATATCTGTTTGATATAATTGATTACCATTACCTTTCATGTCTGTACCTTTCCCAATGCATTTTTGTATATATTTATCATGTATTTCATCTTTTGCAAAATCTGCGCCTTGAAAATTAATTATCAAGTGGATTTGCGCCTTGAAAATCTTATGTATTATTATTATTATTACTATTAATTTAACTTTTCTGTCAGATTGAGGAAATACCATAAAATATAATTATGATATAACTCTAGACAAAGTTTCTTTGATTTCTAGAAAACATAGTTAATAAACAGCTCAAATGTATTGTAAATGTGTGGATGGTATTATGCTATGGCAGTTGCATCAAACGAATTACAATCAATAGTTGCTACGTGTCACATATACCATTGTCTTTGTCACAGACCATTGTCTTGCACGTAAGCAAATAGGATCACGATGCTAGATTGACTATTTACCTACTGCGGATATCGAGCGGCGCTGTGGCTTAGTTGGTAAAGCGTCTGTCTAGTAAACAGAAGATCCCCGGTTCAAATCCGGGCAGTGCCTTTTGTCGGTCAGCATGTGTGTGCGTGGTGAAAAAGCAATTTCCATGTTTCATTCACCTGCTATCATCCATTATTAGAACGCAAATTGCATAGTTAAGTTCGTGCTCTTCTTGGGTAAAGGTTTTGCCTAAAAGATAGAGATTTGTCAACTCCTATATTTCAGTATTCTCAAATAAATGAGTTACAATAATATTTATTGCTCCCCTGTTATGTATATTTTTCACCCAAATAATAATTTTCTAATTTTTTAGCTATGATTTTCCCTCATTGAAAAGTAATGGGTTTGTTATCATAAAGTGAATCAAAAAGTCTTACCAACTAAAGCTTGGTGCAAATATATACAAGTGTATCAAAGTATATCTAAAACAAAGTTTGGGGCCGAAATGGGCGGTGGCAACTGTGCAGCTTGATCAAAGCATATCATCCTAGCCATCATAATAGACAGTATAGACATCGTCGGACAGAAAAATTATAAGTTCAATCAGAGGCGGCGCTCCCGGGGGCCAGGGGGGGTGTACCCCTTACCCTTTTAAGTATCCCCAAAGTGCCCCTTTTTACATGGCCGTAGAACCATACTATGACGTTAGTGATCGTTACTGGTGGCAAACAGCTAATATAGGTCTATAGCTTAATAATTACCTGGAATTGCACAGAAGCAGGTTTTTATTTTACTTTTAGCTACAGACCTTGATTGCCATCCTGCACCATAAGGTACACTTTGACTTCAAAATGAATAAATATAGAAAATATGCATATTTTATATTGTAACGTGGATATAATCACCTCGGGCATAATACATTTATTCGTAATTTTAAAAAGAGAGATATGTAAAAAATATAGGCTATAGCTGATCAGTTCAGCAAAATGTTATTATATCTTAAGTTGAAATCGAATGTATGTAAATACATGTCGTTCAAATGAGCGCAAATGCACCCCCAAAATACAGCCTCTTTTAAATGCCCTCAAACAAGCAAATTATGGTTCTCGCGAAGTTTGTTTAGTAAAAAAATTGGCAATACTTCAACCTAAATTCGCAAAAAAAGCAGAAATATATGCCTAAAAGGTTCAATGTTAACATTCGCGATATCTATCCAGGCTGGATCGATATGATAATTTACCAAATATATCAATTTGTAGGCGGATTCCTGGCAAAATTTGTATCATCACGTATTAATCAAAACATATTCTTTCACCAGTGATTTGAAATAACGGCTTCCATTTCATTTTTTGAGAGGGGGGCGTTTCCAAAACTGAAAATAGTGTGACCAAAAATTGTGCTTCCTCGCTTCGCTCGATCTGAACAGGGATCTCGGAACATCAGTCACATTTAAGTATTTTAAATATGATAACAATACCGTCATGATTATTACATTGGAATTAACAATTTACAGATAGAGATTATAGATCTATCGTCCTCCTGTCACATCCTTATTCACGCGGGCAGGTGATTGTTTCTTATACTGAGACCATACTGAGTTGTACACCCCTTCTATGAAGCCAATATATTGTTACCCCCCCCCCTCTGCAGGCGCGTACACAGGGGTGGGGGGGGGGGGGGGTTGGGGGGTTAACCCCCCCCCCTTGGTATTTTTATGTGTTTTTATTTCGAGACCAAAAAAAAGAAAGAAAAGTGTCCTCTTACCTCCTCCCACATCCCTCACACCCCCCCCCCCCCGGTCTGATCTGCTTATTTTCTCCCTTCAATGACCGCACCCATGCGTCGGTGAAGTTGAGTTGAGTTTCGTTATCACTTTCATACCAACAAGGACATCAATTAAGATGTACACAGTGCACTTACACGATTACAATTAATAACGAATAGAAAATAAACATTATAATGATAGCATGAAGTTACTATGGAGTGAAAATGAACTATGAAATGCATGATAATAGTAAGATTAAACGAGAACTTACGTTTGAAGTTTGATCGTTATTTTATACATAATTAGAGGGAAGAGTATATCGTATATTCTCGAACGAGAATTATGAAGTAAAATCCCCCTATGGAGGCTTACATAAAGGGAAAAAAAACAATTCAGGACGTTTCAAAATATATATTATTCGCAGTGATGGGTCCAATATGCTTTTGCAGAATGAGTATTGTATATATTCGAATAGTCTCGATCTGATAAGAGGAATATAAGGGTCGGCCTATTTCCAGTCAGAGCCTGTTCAGGGATTAAAATGTTATCGGGGGAAGGGGTGGGGACATGAAACCCCGTGCCCCTAGAAGGCCTAGATCCGCATTCCAGTGAGCAGGTCATGAAAAAAAATACTCTCTCAAAACTGGGCGTGCCCAATATTTAGCGAAACCGAATACAAGTATACTTTGGCCTATGACGTCATGTACCAGGACGTGAAAAATGAGTTGTCTATATTCTAGGCTTTCATTTATTTCGTTTTTTTTTTAAATTTCATTTTTACTTGATGCATATTACCATTTCCTTTCAATTCAGTATACCATATCAACGAAACATTTTGCCTTTTATCTATTAACTTAATATCTTAATAACAACTACAGTCATTGTTGCATAAATGCAACAGTTTCGAAAAAATACATATCAGCGTTATGAGTTAGACTAGTACATCTCATAAAAACTAAAACAAAACAAACACAGATACAACTTAGCAAAACCCTACGCTAAGTGCATGGTTGAAAAGTGGTACTTGTATGTTATCAACGTACGTATCACTACCGGCAAATACATGCTAAATTTCATAAAGTAAAATGGTTTGTATTATTTAAAATCATCTCGCAGCCCGAAGGCTGAATTGTGTAACCTTTTACAATGCAATAAATAAATGCGAAATCAAACATTACATGATATAAATTTAAAATTCGTTCAAGTTCAAAGTAGAAATATAAAATATAAAGATATAAATAAATATGTACATGTGATAATATTTCCTCTCTGACCTAATTGAATTGTAATGGTTCATGTTTGTTTGTAAAGAGAGCCGGCTAGTTGCAATAAATTGTAAAAGTGAATAATTGCGTGATTTGAACAGATAGAAAAAAAGTAACGGTGATACATTGGAAAATTACTTCAAATTGACAGAAAATAAGTTAAAATTTACAATAGCAAACCAGATATACTTTTGATATTCATGGGTTTCATACGGATCATGTGCTGATCGGTTTGTTAGTAGGGCCAGAAATCGTTAAAATAGAAACAAATACAGAGTGACGGATAAAATAGGAGAGAAGGGGAAAATTGAGAAAGACAAAAAGAAAGAGAGAGAACGTGTGTGTGAGAGAGAGGGAGAGAGAGAGAGAGAGAGAGAGAGAGAGCTAGACACAGAGGAGAGAATGGAAGAGGAATAGAATTTTAGCAGTTACGATTGATACCGCATTGAATTGTCAATTAATTAAAGGCACACTGTCCTTCTTGTAGCTACTTGCTCCCTCTATATAGAAAACTTCCCCAATCGGTGCCTGTTGGTCCCCCATGATCCTCTTTTTCTTATGTTAAATGAGAGCTGAGTTAATGAGATAGCCACCTGTCATAGTGACCTCGCTGGCTCGCTGGGTGGTCGTCAAATCCATTCTGGCTAAAGTAGTAAAGCCTGCCTTTAAAAAGTAAAATATCATTTTACAAACTGGTAACAAAATTAAATTATATTAAGAAGTGAAAACAAATTGCTTATCTGGTGTTGCGGATAGTGTAACTATGTCTGACGATCATATAGTTACATGTCATTCAATAGATCGACCAAGAATGGAATTGGGCTTCTTTTGTACCAGTTCTGCATCTGATTGCAGGATATAGGAGCAACCCTTCTAGTGTCTAGAATTTGGATATTGGTAATGTGTAGCACATTTTTAAGTACTAATCCCAGCAGGCGCGTACAAAGGGGGGGGGGGGGTTAAACCCCCTTTGGTATTTTTATGTGTGTAAACCCCCCCTAACCCCCCCCCCTCTTTGGATTTTATTTGGTTTTAATTTAAAAAAAAAAAATCTTCCCATGGCTGACCTAAAACAGGTGACCCTACCCCCCCCCCCAACGGAGCAAAATGTCAAATTTCCAAATTTCAAGACCAAAAAAAAAAAATGTGTCCTCTTACCCCCCCCCACCTCCCCCCCCCCCCCCCCCCCCCCCCCCCCTTGAAAAAATCCTGCGTATACGCGCCTGAATCCCAGTACAATTTTTGAGTGCATTTTGTTGGTTTGTTTAAAAGCCTGAAATGTATGCCATGTCATGAAAAAGAAAAACCTATTGATTGATCATCGGTTATATAAATTTTGCATTCAAAATGAAGTTGTAGAATTGTAAATAATCTTTAAAAAAATGAACAAACGAACAATAACAAACAAACACACAAAAAAGTAACGTACACCATATAACTTATTTAGCAGCAGAAGCTTTGGCATTATGCATTAGACACAAAGCGTACCACCAGTCATTTTGGATTCTAGCAGATACCGCATACAGTACGCATATCTTCAGTGACTCAACGCAGTTAATTCATGGGGTTGGGATTGCACCTGGTCTCCTGAAATTATTGGTATTTGCTGATGAAGTATCGGAATTCTGTGACACAGGAATACCCTTTCTACTGATATAGACTACCATTTATTCAAGGTTATAAAATCGTAGGAGAGGATTAACGTTAAAACGAACTTTATGCTTCATCATTAATTGCGTGTATGAAATTGAAGGAACAATGCGATGTTGTTGACGTCGGTATAGTTCAGCGACGGTGTGGTAATCCAGCGCTGCATCCATCGAAAGTATCAGAGGAAATTCGATCGTTTCCTGGCGATTATAAGGGCAAATCTCCCTGATTTTATCAATTAATACTTTCTGATAGTGTGTTTTGTTATCTCTTCATCATGGGTGATTATAATTACGGAAACCCACCGCCTTACAGCACAAATCCACCGCCTTCTTCAGCGCAAGCCTATTATTCACCACCGGGACCCGGCGGTGGATACGCGACTGACTACCCGAATGCATACAGTGCACCTCCTCCTCAGGCTGCCGCAACGGCCCCACCGATAACTCCTCAGTCTTCTGTTCAGAGAAACGCCGCCGTACCACAAGCTCAACCCAACCGGAGCCGGGTGCAAAAGAAGAAGAAACAACAGCAGCAACAGCAGCAACTTCTTCAGCAACAACAGGCCAGGCCCAAAATGACACGACAAAGCAGTGCCCCATCACAAATTAGTCTCTGCACAAAATACTCACTGTTCTTTGCAAATTTTATATTTTGGGTGAGTAGACCACTTGCTTGATCTATTTTTCTGGAGACTAAATCTAAAGCAGACTCAAAGATAAGGTTGATCAAGTTCTGGGAAGCATGGCCCTCGCGTACACAGATAACGCGTGGCGCGCGCGCCACGCGTTCCTGATGAGCCCGACCTAGCGCCACGCGTTCTAAAAAAAAAAAAAAAAAAAAAAAAAAAAAATCTTTTTTTTTTTTTTTTTTTTTTTTGAAAAATCAGAAAATTCCGGATTTTCTGGTCCTAGAAATCCCCAAATAACAGAATATTCTGAATTATTCGTAAGGGTTGGCAGGTATGGTATTAAAATTTCATCAAATTACTTGTAATACTTGTAAAAAATAAATTTAAATTAAAAAAAAAAAAAAAAAAAAAAAAAATCATTTTTTTTTTTTTTTTTTTTTTTTTTTTTTTGGGGGGGGGGGGTCAAATTTTCCCTCGGGTCGCGCCACGCGTTTTTAATTTCTTGGCGAGAGGCCTGGCAGAGGTGAAAAATAATTTTTGAGCATTATCATTGTGCAGGTATGGAACAGTGGAAGAACATCAGATACAAAATGTTCCCTGAAAAGCATGGCTCTCCAAATCTATAATAATAATCTAAATGTGGCATGTTACTAACAACATCATCAAGTTGAAATAGACCTCGTCTAGGTCTAGATATCTAGACAAAAATTGTGGGGGGGGGGGGGGGGGGGGAATGAGTGAGCACTTTTTTTAAAATTCAACACCCCCCCCCCCCCTTGAGCCAACAAAAAGAGGTAAAATTGTGGTTACTGGTTACTTTAATTTTTTTTTTTTGCCAGGGTTGGGGGGCCTGTTTTTTTGTTTTTTTTAAAGGTAAAATTGTTGTTACCATCTTTATTTTTTTGCCAGGGGTGGCGTGGGGGCCCATGCCCCAATACCCCCCACAGCGGATCCGCCTCTGCACACACTTACATGTTCATGTATGTACATGATCATCCATGGGAAATTGGGAATAGTAATTTTGTAACCCTTTGGCACAGCACGCTGGCAGCCTGGTACAATGCATCATGTTTGAAAAGTTATGAAAACTACCAAGTCCAGTTTTGAAGATAGAAATTGAGAATGAAATTAATTAAACAAGCAGAGATAGACCTGGAAACCAGACAGCAGGAATGACTGCATTTTCCCGTTAGATCCGTTAATAATAGAATAATGTTATGATCCATCACATACAGTGTACATATACTGTACACATCGGCCATTCTAGGGAAGCTCCCCATTTCTCTCATCTTAGGGAAAAGTGTCACTTCCCGTCAGCTTGATGTAGAAATTAGATTGCCCTATAAACTGTATATTCCACCACACCGTCTGCAGGTCTATCTTTAGGGGTTTGTAGGCTTTGTGTACTTCATGTACTGTTTAGGCCTCGAGAGGCACAAGTTATGCAGTGTTTTGTCTAGATGAAAGGTATACATGTAGCAAATGATAAAGCAAGCCATGAGGACTATAAAATGAGAGGCAATCTTTCTATTCTGTATAGCGATTGATATGTTGATATTTAAAAGATTGATAATATCAGGTCTAAAACATACATCAGGGAAAAAAATAATATTTATTTTTCGGGGGCTACTTTTCAAGCTTGCCTGCATAAAAATAACACTCTAAAAAATTTTTTGCATTGAACTCTATGCAAATTTACAGGGGCTCTTTTCTGATTTTTGGGGGCTCTTTGGGGCATTTCGGGGGCAAATTCGCCCTGAGCCCCCGTGTATTTTTTTCACTGACATACATCAACGTACAGTACATGTACTAGGGCTGCGATGAGTAGTCAAATGCTCGAGTACATGTACCTGCAAGGTTGACAACTAACCGAGTACAATTTCTCTTACTCAAATATTCGGCCGCAAAAACACAATAAAACAAAACAAACAAAAAAAATTCCCAGGCTGATGGTTACCCGTGCCAGGGAGAGCGGCAGCCGCTGGCATGGTACCATCGGTAAAAATGTTTCCCAATTCAAGCACTGTCTAACTCACCACTCAGAAACTGGGACCAAATGTCCGAATATCTGTTTGGATTCGAAGGAAACTGGATTATTCTGCCATCTTTGGTTTTTAAAACGGCATTGTTTACTGTTATTATTATTATTAAATTGGCGCCGTCAACTGCAACTCGAAGTAAAATTGCATGCGTTTTCGGCGATGGACTTGCGATACTGCTCCAGTGGTATGGTGGTGGCAAAAAAAATTAAAAAAATAAAAAATAAATAAATAAAAAAAAAAATAAAAAAAATAAAAAAAAATTATAAAAAATATGGCGTCCGAATATTCGAGTATTCGCTTGTAAGCCTGGGAGTGTACTCCGGTACTTCATTACACTGTTGTGCACAGCCTTAACATGTACATACTATTACCTGTCCTGAATCTATAAAAGTGGGAATTTTGACAAGTAGTACTAGTATTTGTACATACATGTACTGTACATGTACGGCTAATGACATGGTTACTGAAAGAGCGGCGCTGTATGATGATAAAAGTCCCTAAGTAGTCATATTATTGTTAAACAGTGGAAACCATGAAGTTCATAAACTATTTTGGGACAGATCAATTTCCTGTTATCTTGTTTTTACATGTACCGCGTTGTGCCCAGGCAGTGCTCCACGCTCTTACAGGGTAAGGCAAATAAAGACTTTGTCTCCAGTTTTTGGTACCAGTGAAGAATTTAATTTTTAAAGTTGCCTTATAATTGTTTCAGAACACCGTACATAATTTGTAAATATCACTAAAAGACATCTTTTTTAAACTCATCTCTAGTTCCCGAGAATTTTACTTAGGCCTAAAATAAAAACTTGTTGTATTGCCCTTTGCGACCGACTCCAAAATCTGAAAATCTACAGTCAGCATTTTAAAAAAGTTTTTTTTTTTTGTACCGGTAACCGTTTTTTAATATTATTTTTTATTAATGAATAAACAAATATGTATTGTGTTTCTTTAAATGGGATATAAATGCATAATATCAAATTATTTCGAATTCTCACTTGTCTTCTGCCCTACATGTAGTTTCAAAGTCCTAAAAATGATATGAATGGAATGATGATGCTGAAATGCATGTACATGTGTGTAGCATTAAAAACTGAGAAATATCGGCGAAAAGAGGGCGAGGAAAAAAACATTCATATTGAAAAATATCGGCCCAAAGAGGGCGACAAAAAAAAGTTAAAAAAGAACAACAACTTTTCAGACCGACTGACCGACCCATGTTTTGGCAACTACATGTAAAGGGCAATACAACAAGTTTTTATTTTAGGTCTTATTTTAAACAACCCTCACACAGTTTTATACAATGTACATGTAGGTCTGAGATAAAAGGCAAAACAACCAAACAAAGAATAATGTTTAGCATTAATTTACGCTCGTTGAAGAAAAATGTAATAGACGATATACTCCACCTACTGTATAAAAAGCAGGGCGTTGGAATGGATGTACAGTACAGGTAATTACTGCAGAATTTCATACATTGTACATTATTGCGTGCAAACAGGAACTTGGGTAAGGAAATATTTGAGCATCCTATGTAAACAATATTTACTCCATCGACTTCCTGTTATCAAAAATTCAGTTGATTTTCAACACATTAAAAAACACCTTTTTTTTGGGGGGGGGAGGGGGGTGTTGGCTTGATTTAATTTTGATTTAATTTGTTAATATCCTTTATTATGGTCACTATTGCTTCATAATATATTAAAAAAGAAGAGGAAAATCAATTTGTACTGTACACTTTAGGTACTGTAGACAGCAAGATAGTCATACACTTTGAAAATGTAATACTCTATTATTTTGTGTTTTGAAACAAATGGGAACGGCACTTTGTGACAGTGACACTGCAGATTCAATAGTTCATAACTCTTTCATTTTTATGCCTCCGCCACCGAAGGTGGTGCCGGAGGCATCATGTTTTCGGGTTGTCCGTCCGTACGTCCGTCCGTCCGTACGTCCGTCCGTCCGTACGTCCGTCCGTCCGTCCGTCCGTCCGTCCCGTTTGACCGTTATCACAATATCTCAAGAACCATTTAAGATTTAAACTTAAGACTCGGGAATAGTATTTATCACCATAGGAAGACGATCTGATTAGATTTTGGAGTACGTAGGTCAAAGGTCACAGGTCACAGAGGTCAACTTATGAAATTCCTTGTATTGAGTTTGTTAGCGCGATATCTCAAGAACCATTTGAGATTTAAACTTCAAACTTAAGGATAGTATGTATCACAATAGGAAGACGATCTGATTAGATTTTGGAGCACGTATGTCAAAGGTCAAGGGTCACAGAGGTCAACTTATGAAATTCCATACATTGAGATTGTTATCATGATATCTCAAGAACCACTGGAGATTTAAACTTCAAACTTAGTGATAGTGTGTATCACTATAGGAAAACAATCTGATTAGATTTTTGAGCACGTAGGTCAAAGATCAAGGGTCACAGAGGTCAACTTATGAAATTCCATACATTGAGATTGTTATCATAATATCTCAAGAACCACTGGAGATTTAAACTTCAAACTTAATGATAGTGTGTATCACCATAGGAAGACAATCTGATTAGATTTTGGAGCACGTAGGTCAAAGGTCAAGGGTCACAGAGGTCAACTTATGAAATTCCATACATTGAGATTGTTATCATGATATCTCAAGAACCACTGGAGATTTAAACTCCAAACTTGTTTAAATTGCTCTATGGCGGAGGCATCATTTTCGACTGCGCGCAGTCAAAATTCCATCTAGTTTTTCCTGCCTTCTTTCAAAGCAGTTTGCTTAATTTTGAATTTTCCTTGAAATATTTTGCTTTCTGTTTCAGCTGCTACATGTAATACAGTGTAAAAATAAATACAAGGAAAAGAACATGTACTCCATAATATACACCATGTACTAGTACACATACAGTAATATGATACTTTTTTGTACTATGGTTAACAGCTGGGTGAAGGTGATTTATTTGTTGTGTGTTCGGGTTCAATCAATATCCTATACAATACATACTGTACAGACTGACACAGTTTTAGAGACAAAGGGTCGTGCCATACGATGTAAGGTACAATCCAATTAAGAGTCATTTTCTAATATTAAAGGCCGACTAAGTAATTTGATAGACTTTATACTATAGTACACTGTAGTAAAAACTAGAAAGGTATCTGCTATTTTTGTTAAAATGCCTTTTTTTGTCAACAGAATTGAAATAAATTATAAATGTCACATACACTGTACATGTACAAGTACGGCTACCACCACAATGCAATGCTAAATTGCCTGAAATGGATACAAAGATTTGCGTGGCGTGGTAGCTTGGTTGCGCGATGGCACAAACTTTGATCTAGTTTTACCGGTAGTTTTTGTTTGAAAAATAGGTTACAAAGTTTATTTACAAGATTGACAAAACTTTTCGCAAACACAAAATTGTTGGTAAGATATATGTGAAATTATTCTAGAAACGTTCTGTCCCATTTTACATTAAATGGTATAGTCCTGGCTTGTAGTCCCAGCTGTTTTGACCGCCCATTCAGAGTTTGAGGTGACCCAATTTTTGGGTATATGCCACACCTAGACTTTTTAATATTTTCTCTTCCGAAAATGCATGTACTGCGGCCTTTACGCCAGCAAATACGGTACACATTTTGCAATCAATCGATTGCCCTTTACATTTACAATGTTTGATGTACACCATACACAAAAAAGGTTCTTTCATGTTTCATCTACATGTACTGTAGTACATGTTCATGTACCTGCATGAAAATTCACTGTACAGATTGTATTTCATTACCGGTACTAATGTCTGATGATATCACCACAATCATTTTCATAAAGTCTCCCATCCAGCAAGCACATTGCATTCAAATTGCATTGGCATCTTACTATGTATTAGTCACTCATTAGATTGACACGAATGGAACGTCCGATAATTATAAGTGATGTATGGGAACTAATGTAGGCTACAGTGTACATGTACCGGTAAGCGATGGTGTACTGGGTATTATTTAATGCTAACACGTACAGACACAATTTGTAAAGATAAAAGTATACAGACTACATGTTACTGCCTTCAAATTGAGAGAAGCAAAATATTATACAAGCCTACATGTACATGTACATGTACCTTTAAATATTGCTCAATGAGTGCTTTATAATCTTAGCAAATACAAAGCCAATTACATTGTGTTCTCCATTATGACATTGATATGGGTTTGTTGTGGGTTGTGTTGTTCCCCTATATGGATATGATTAAAATCCTGTTTTGATGAACATCCCTCCTGTCTTTCCACGAATGGGGGAAACCTTGGGGTTAATAGTCTCTGCCAGGTTATTTTTGCTCGTTGGTAATAATATTCCACCTACACAGACTGACATGTACTGTTATCATGGGGTGAATGTGGGAGGCAGGAATGAGAATCAAGCTGGCAGGGAAAGAGAGAGATAGAGAAAAAGAGAGAGAGACAGAGAGAGAGACAGAGAGACAGACAGAGACAGCAATTTGATAATAATGATGATAATATATGAGATTTATAAGGTGCCGAACCCACTTGCAAGTAAATGCTCAAGGCGCGCTTGTGAAAAAAAAAGGAAGAGATCAAATAAAAACATGCGCAATATAAACAAAGGAACATGAGTTAAAGATAAAAATGAAAGAAGAATTAATTGTTTGCAGATTTAAACAGATTGTAGTATTATGTACCTTTTATAGATTTAGAGATAATGAGAGAAAGAGAGAGATATACATGTACACATAGAGAAACAGAAGAGAAAGAAGTATTCTCTACAGGACTTATAAGCAAAAACTGTACATGGACACTGCATGTGATTGAATTTGAAAAGTATTTTGTGAAATTATATGTCTAAGACCTACCGGTATACATGTACATGTATGTGCATTCACACTACATTTATATTTAATTTATTACCAGTAAATTGTATGATGCAAATAAACTTGTGTTTTTGAACATTTATTTGCTTAGTTCTGTACATGTACTGTACATGTAATATGACATGTGCATAATATGCATAAAGAGAGAATTTGGAATTGAATTTTGTTTTCATCATTTAGACTTCACACACCCAACATTGTTCGAAATCGTTCAATCATGAGCACACAAGGAAGCAATATTGCTATACACTGTACATGTACCGGTACATGTACACATGTAGCTGCATAGTGGGTATTCTATTGTGTACACCGGTGACTAATGCCCTTCTCTGAGCAATCAATGTTTCTTTCTGTTTGCAAGGGTGGTCTAAAATGAACTTTCAAGAGTAGGGCCTATACAGTACAGTTGTACATGCACATGACAACACTTTTTCTATGTAAAATATTGCCCTTTGTTTTTGTAATGTGAACTACATGTAACAACAATTTTGTAGTATGCATTAATTGACAGGGATTCAAATATAAAATAGAGTACATGTACATGACTGTATGTACTTCCATATTTAATAGTACTCTCAACATTGTCAAGTTCAGAAACTCACATACCCGCATAATGTACAGGTACACACATGCACATTTGTACACGCATTCATAATGGCGGTGAAAAAAAACAATAGTTTGGCTATACTCTATATTGTACACACAAGAACATTGATGTTGTATGCATTTTTATGTTTATTTTTGATTGTTTCATAAATTTTTGGCTAACTTAAAAATGTTCTACCCCAGCCAAAAATGTATAAATAGAAAAACAAATCTATTATTAATATTGTCATTATTATTGTTAATGTTATTATCGTTATTATTATTATTATTATCATCACAGGCCTGTATCATCATCATTATCATTATCATCATTATCTTTATCATTATTATTATGATTATCATGATAATATTTGAATAATAAGTTCATGGACTTAACTATACCACCTGTGATATTATGGCGTTGTAAATTTACGATCTCTCTGCCTTTCTTTCTGTCAGCTTGCTGGTGTTGGACTTATAGCAATAGGAGTCTGGGCATGGCTAGATAGGGTGAGTTCTTTGATTTGAAAATTACAAAATAGTGATAATTTGAAATAAATGATCTCATTAATGATTTTAAAATTAATGAAAAAATTAGATTATGATCATCATTGTGATCATCATTATGATCATCATTTTCAAATTGTAAAGAGTGACTATAACATGTATTTAAATTTGTAGTATCAATTTAAAATGATGGTCATTATGGAGGAGGAGGAGGAGGAGGAGGAAGAGGAGGAGGAGGAGGAGGAGGAGGAGGAGGAGGAGGAGGAGGAGGAGGAGGAGGAGGAAGAGGAGGAGGGAAGGGGGAGGGGGAGGGAGGGAGGAGGGAGGGGGGGGGGGGGGGAAGAAAAGGAGGAGGAGGGAAAGGAAAAGAGAACGAAAGAGAAAAAGAAGAAGTAACTGGGAAAATGGATTATGGACAGAGTAGAATAAACTTATCAAGATGATTTCGATAACAAAGGGTGATGAGAGGTGTTCAATATTGACATGAAATGCCTCATCTTTTATCATGATGAGAGACCTGTAGTTTTATTTCTTATTTTCTTCCCAATTCCAGGGCTTCTTTGGGAACCTAGATCAGTTTGTCACATCATGGTACCTGGATCCCATACTATGGTTTTCGCTCGTTGGTGTCATCATCTTCTTCATGGCCACGTTCGGTTGCATTGGTGCACTCCGAGAAAATATTTGCCTTCTGAAAACAGTAAGATTTTAATTTGATTCTAAGTTTTTTGTTCCTTCTCGCTTCCCCTTTTTTCTGCCCATCCATTTTTTTATTGTTATTTTTGTATTAAATTATATTATTTGTTTGCATTGCTATTTGATATATTTTTTTTTTTAATTAAACAGAGAATCTTAGAGCATCTAAAGAACAAGGTAACATTCAATACAGAGCAGTCACATCTCAAATATCAGAAATCAAAACAGTTAATTTGATTCCAAGTTTCTTGTTCCCTCTCGCTTCCTCCTTTTCAGCCTATTTCCTTTTGAAAATTTGTTATCTAGTTACATATAGTTTTGTTTTCGTTGTTATTTGATATTTTTGTTTTGAAATAAAAAAGAGAATCTTGGAACATCTAGACCGATGGGGTAACATTCAGTTCAGTGCACTTAAATCTTGTGTTTAGCCTATTCAGTGCATGTATTCCGTAGACATTTGTTATGAAAGGCATTTTTATGAAAAAAAATCATTAAAAAAACAACAACCAGATATCCAAACATGGAACCCCCCCCCCCCCCCCCCCCCCCCCCCCCCCCCCCATTCACCCATCAGTTTGGAAAAATGAATATTAGAACTATTGTTGCTTGGCCAGTGAAAGGCGTGTGGAGGAGTCATTAATGATATGATAAACAGGGGACCATTTCATATCACAATGTACGTGTATCACGCTACCATACTGTAGCCTGACCCAAATATGCTCACATGCATCAGCAGGGTCCAGTTCCGTGTGAACAGGCTTTAAATAATAATAATCACAATGTATGACATTTGTGAGGCGCCAAATCCACTTGAAATTAAATGCTCAAGGCGCACTTGTGAATCAAAAACAAAAGAAGAGATCAAATGAAAAGCATCTGCATTAGAAGCAAAAGAACAAGTACGATAGAACGTATATAAAGATGACAGCACAATTAATTACATGCTAAATTAAACAGATACGTTTAACACCTGAACTGATCGCTCTTCCTAATCATGAATGTAAACATAATTTTCACTACTCGAGGCAAAGGATATGACCCAGGAAAATATCGACCAGAAAGGATACACTGTGCACACAGACTCACGTTCGGCCTTGTGTCGCAGTGGTAAATAGCTGTAACCTATTTAACAGCCTACATGTACTGTACATACTTCCTACAACATGTATATGTTTGAAAGTTAAAGTTAAAAAAAAAAACTTGCTTACTTTCCCTTTTATTGTGATAGTACTTACACTATTACAGGTTTCAGTTTTGTTGCTGCTAAATGTACTGGGAAATCTGAGCATCATTTACATTTGTACTTTAGGACCTCACCCCCCCCCCCCAACAATATACACTGTATCCTATGACCACATACTATACTGTTCATCTTGTAAATAGTAGAAACATTGCTACATAAATGTAGTTGAGGATGTTCACCACGTCGGATTACAAGTTTACAATTTAGAAAAGGGCCAGAATTTGATAGTAATTCATGTACACTTTGTATCTCACTTATTGAGAACAAGAGAGAATAAGAGCTGAATGTGATACAATTCAACCTGTATGCATGATGCATCCATAATGTACACTTTAGATCCTATATATTTTCTATGCGGTAGCCATTTTGAACTGGATTAGTCTCAAGGGTCAAAATCTGTGTACTTAAACTATTTACAAAAGGAGCATTGTTCTGTGAGAATGAGTGAAAGGAACATCTATTTTTCATGTAAAATGTCATGCCTATCCACGGTTCCCCACCAAAATTGTAAAAGTCACAGTACATTTTAAACTCATTTAGTTTTAATAACTTAATCATTCTTTGCAATACAAATTTCAAAATGTGAAGTAACGGACATGAAACTAGCTGTAATTCGGTCTACATAAAAGTCTGAAATACAGATATTTGCAATTGTGTGATTCACTATTATTACACACATTCACACAGTAGGATCTATTGCAAATTGTCATGGCACAGGATTGCACAGAAACAGAATTAAATATTGACTTTTATACCAAATACAAATAGTTCTGTGTGTGCAAAGTGCTTTCGATCAGGGCGCATCATATTTGCCCATTATGGCGCTTTTATCAACATTGGTAATTCCCACCATTGATCTACTATTTCATTCCAAGAACTGAATTTATTGAAAGGTTATTATTTTTTTTATTTTTGACACACATATCCTGGTTCTCTTCATAAGAATTACATGTATAAAAACATGGGACATGACCAATTTCCTGTTTGTTAGTACTGTGAAATGTTCATGCTACAATTTCAAATGCGGTTTCATAATTCATTAGATATCTTTTATTTTTGTGTTTGCCATTGCAGAATTCCATGCAGTCTACTTTTTACACGAATAATTTCCCACATGTTTAAAATGTGTCTCAATACCTACTGAACAACATTAGATTAGAGGATGAAGATAATTGGCAAGTTCCGATGATATGGAAAATGAAAATCTTGGATTTTTTGTTTTTAATAAAATATGAATAAGTTGTTTTGAGGCTGTATTTGATAGATGTAGGTTCCAGAAGAAGAAAACATTTTAGCAAAGTTATCCAACATCCTGTACTTTTTTCTTTATGGGGGAGGGGAGAGGGGAAGGGGAGGGGAGAGGGGGAAGGGGGAGGGGGAAGGGGGAGGGGATAACTGTATTTGTGCTGCAATAAACATGAACATACACATACCTCTGTGCATTGGCAGGGGAGCAAATTTTAAGATATCATCCTAGAGGCTATTCACACCGCAAGGGGGGACTGTGGGCGGACAGTGGATTGCGCTATCGTAGCGCGACCCACGGTCCGCCCATTGGAATTCGCCGGATTCACACCGCAGTGAGATAGCGCGGTCTATTGTAGCACCCCCTTTTTTGAGAGGTCCTGTTGCCATGACGCGTGACGTCATGAGGTCAGAGCGGTCAAAGATTTTGCGCGCTATTACGAACCCGGAGTGTTGAGTTGTACCGATTCAGATTCAGATCGCACCAAAATAGAATGAGTATAAAATTTCTCGCGTGTAGAACGATGACTTCCGGTGTGCTATCGTAGCCCGGCTTCACACCGGCAGAGATAGCGCGGTCTAGCGCGTCCTAGACCGCGCTATCTCTTTTGGACCACCCCCAAGAGGTGCTCCAGTGGCACGCCGTTTTAGCTCGCTGTGGCTCGCTGTTGGGCGGACCGAAAAGACGTTGTACCTTCTACACCGCAGAGATAGCGCGCTAGACCGCGCTATCTCTGCCAGTCTGAACAGCCTCCTAGTTTGTAGGTTGATATGAAATCTATAGACCTACTGCCTGTAGGCCTATACATGTACATGAAGTCTACACTGTAGTATAGATCCCTCATAATGCCATACTATTCAGGCAGTGCAGTGTGAACAGTGAACTATGACAGCAGTTAGAGCACCAAGGTTGAATAGTGAATCTAACATCTCACTCTGTAAATTATGCGTAGGCCCTCTCATACTGCCTCCAGGCGCATGTAGTTAAGAAACATCTTTCAGAACACCCTAAAATAAACATGTAGGCAGGTGGTGTCGACAGACTGCCTTGATTGAGTATTGAATATTACATCTCACTGTGTACAGTATGATGGATCTATTCATACTGTCTCATGCAAGCCTTTTATTAAGTCAAAGCAGACCGGGAGCCAAATATCTGAAAAAGCGGCTCCCGGTCCTTAATTTTTTTAGAGAACCGGGAGCCGTTTTCCAGGACCAGGAGCCGTTTCCAAAATGGATGAAAATATGTATTCTTTTACATTATTTGTTAAACGTTACCTTTTATTTATACATACGGTAGTTTAATTTCTAGTTTACATTTTGAGCACTCTAATATTAAATCACTCATACCTTGGATAAATCTGTCATATGTAGTTGTTGTAGTTCATGTTTAATACTATTTTCATGCCGTTAAATGTCAAAAATTGAAAAATGTTAGGAAGGGGGGGGGGGGGGAATTAAATTATTTTTATGAAAAAAATACTTAAGAAAAACCATCTATAATGACAATGAAGAGCTGCCAACCTGTCACTTTCAAAAAACATATTATTCAGCTTGAAAAAGCATATTTTAGTTTTAAAAAAACAGATTTTGCCTGTTTAACGTGTTTGTTATTTAGACCTGTCACTTAAAAAAAAAAATTAAAAAAAAAATCAAAAAATCAAAAAATATTAACAAAAAAAAAAAAAAGATTTCTTAAATATATTTACCTATTTTATCAGAAAAATCCATTATTTAAAACATCACAGAATTTTAGTCAATGAGTATGAGGGCCGCTGAATCAAGGCAAGTCTGGAGTTGCAATCAACTTTGTACATAAAGTCAATGCATCAGCAGGTCCGGTGTTCTGTTTTTCATTTGGCTTTTTGAAGATACCATTACAAAAAAAAAATACATAGGCAAAAAAACTGGCAACAAAATCGCTGATTTCTTGATTTTTAGCGCTTTTTTGATGAAACTGTTTCTTAAAACTGTGCTTAAACCCCCGTGAGCTTTGGAAATATGGCTCCGATTCCGCATTTTTGACAGCAAAATTTGGCTTTTGGGATGGATTTTTGGAAGTTACATCGAGACTTTCTTGTACTGACACTGTGTGTGTAGTGCAGTACAGCACTGATGTCATTTGTGTGTGTATGCATGCATGGCCTGGGGAAATGCGCTCGTCTTTGAGTGGTGTACATCCCCTGTATTGTGTGCTCCGTGCTCCGCTAGTAGGAGATAGCGGCCGCTGGTATTTAGTGCTGCAATTGTTTCTGGGCGATTTTAATTAGGATTCTCATTATATAATGATTTGTTAGGGTTCATTCAGTCCACGTTTAACTCGTGTCAAGTAAGTTTGTGTCACATTTGTGAACATTTAGTGCTAGACATGTGGAAGTTTATGAAACAGAAAATGTTAATTCTCCCAGACCGGGCGCCAAAAATAAAAATGGACCGGCGCCCGGTACTCATTTTCCCTGTCTTACCGGGCGCCAAAAGTCAGGGACCGTGGGGTAAAAATCGCCCGGCGCCCGGTTAATAAAAGGCTTGGTCTCATGGCACTTGAACAAGTATTCAGAAAACCATACACAATACATGTACATGTACATGTAATGTACAGACGGGCAGTGTGAACAGAAATTATTACTCCGGTCATTGGATTCATTCACACACAATGTGCACCATCTCCTCTCCCAGGGGAATATTCCTACCATATGGTCACCGTGAGGGCATATGGCAAGTACTACACAAAGGCTTTCGTCATCCTACCAGGTCCCTATTTTTCTCCTGGGTATAAAGTGGCAAATGTAGATTTAATGCCTTTCTGATCAAACCCACGACCAGTGAATTTCAAATCAAGTGCTTAAACCATGAGACTATTGTATGACGCCTCTTTACATAGCATTAGACAAATAATTGTTAACATCTCCCTCTGATTTTAAAGGCCGTGTCAGAGATCAAACCCATGACATTTGAGTTTAAAATCAAGTGCCTTATAAACCTCGACACCTCTTTACACAGCATTAGACAAATAATTGTTAATGTTAACATCTCCCACTGATTTTAATGGGTATACAGTTGTATAATTTATACTGCCAGTAGCCCCAAGCACATGCATTAGAGATACACCTTTCAGATTTCAGAACATACACTGTACAGGCAGTGTGAACAGACCTTGGTTGAATATTGAATTAACATCATGCTCTGGAGAGTGTTCCCTGTTAGATGTGATAAGGGGGAGCAGGAAGGGGCAGTTCAGCCTGGGGTTTCCAGGGGGTCAAATTATGCACAGCCATTCCGTCCCAGATATGTATGATACAGTTATTTCTTTGTAAGATGGTGTCAGGTGCTAATAATAGAGGGGGTCGTTAAGTTGCGACAAGCTAACAAATGACACTTGGGGCTATCAATACCTAAATGTATACTATGCAAGAATGCTTCTTGAAAATGCTTCTTGAAGATGCTGATGAATTTTGAAGAATACAATGAAGAACAAAAGGAGAAAAATGGGCAATCTGTTTGTTTTGTGTTTTGTTTGTTTTTGTATATTTTATTAAAGCAAAACATGAGAAAAATGGGCAATCTTGTTTTTTTAACTGATGGGACCCCTCATTTCGATGGGGACCCACCCCTGCACAAAAACAAAACATGTTCATTACTTATGTGCTAGTCTAGACGTTAAAGTAAAGCTGAGCTCTAAATACTTTGATACATTCGTCTTTGGACGAGAGAAATTTGGAACAATTTCAAATCATTAGGTGCTGGCTTAAATATAGAATAGAGATGTACAATGTACAGTACAATACATGTATGTGGAAAAGAAAAATCAACATATTCAAATCAGACATAAAAAATGAACAAGCAACCCAAACAAATATTTGAATGTAAATCTGTGTTTATCTTTGTTATAAAAGTAAATGAACATTTTCTAATAGTGATAGCAGCCGCCGCCCCCTGAACTTTGAGACTGCGCTATTAAAATAGGTGTCTAGGCCAACATGTACATGTATGCTTATAACACAACCATCATTGCTATATTTGTATGAGTGAAATTAACCAGAAAGTATATATTCAGTACTTTGACATTCATTACAATGTACAATGTAGGATGGCTGTAGAAGCTGAATAGCACAGAAAACGTTGACGAAGAAAATGTGTGAGTCATGTGGATTAAAAGGGATTTGGCATGAATTAAATCCACTCAGTCGTTGCAAATGTGAAGAAATGATTTGCCCCTCGGTCTGAGGTCATGACTGATGTTCATCTCATCAATGTAAAATGGATTTGATTCATAATTACCCATGGGGGTATTGTGATGATGATTGGGGAGGAGAAAAGAGAGATTGGACGTTTGATCGGACGTTAGATAGACAACAGATGAGGATAGCGAGGAAGATGGAAAGATAAGGCCGGTCACACTCTGCAAATTATTAGATTTTATTTCGTCTTCTTCATCCTCTGTTGGGCATCAGGGATTATAAACAGCACCAAGCTACTTGTTTTAAAGTGTACCAGTAATCTTTTCATAGTATACATGTATAGTTAAATCTGCTTTGTGACCGCCTGTCTACAAAGACCACATTTTTTGTTTCCCTCAAAAATGGTTTCTAATTGAAACATGTACTATAGGAACCTGTATATAAAGACCATGATTTTTGCTTGCAGTGTATGCAGCTATTGTTTTTTTTCCCCCAGCATTTTTTAGGGAAGAGGAAGAGAGAAATTTCTAATGCAAATGCTTCATGACACAGCTCTCTAATTGATTAATTATCTGCTGAACCTTAATGGCATTAAGCCATGTAATTTGCATTGAGTTTATTTTCCTCCTGCCTATCAGCAGATAAAGTAATTACCGTAAGATAAATGCTTTCTTGTGAAAGCAGTGGTTTCAAAGAGAGATTGATGCGTTTATTGTTAAACGTGGGAATTAGATTCCTTGTTTATAAATCCGACAACATTTAAAAAATTGTACTGCAGTCTCGGTTTTGTCACCTTTACAATACTTGATTCTGCACTTGAAGACACTTATAAATGCAGTCTTAGTTTCATCTCTTTCTTTCATTGTATACACTTAATTAAATTTGGTTATTTTTCAAGATGGACCAAGAGAGAAGTGTAATTGATGCACACCATTGAAGTTGTCCAAGAAGAGCTGTTTATGGTTTTATTTTGATAAAGTGTTTTGTATACCTGTACCTGTCAGAAATATATGATAATACATGTACAGGTAATTATAATAAATGCAGACGTTTGTATTACACAATATATCCATGCACCCAGATGGTGCTCAAGGTGCCTACAATCAATGGATTAAATTAAATAAATATTCTGAAAGTGCTTACAATTTATTGAAACAGATAAGCAGAACAAAAGATATTTAGGAGAAAACACTTGTCATCAAATTTAAAGATGTGTTTTTAGTTTTCCCTTTTAAAGTGATCTACAGTTTTGCAAGTTTTCAATGATAGACCATAGTTTTATAAAAACAGTTAGGAAAATGGAAAAAATGAAATTTTGATTTCCAATCATAAATATCTTGATAATTCAGACACACTTGTCAGGTGATCGGCTTATAAAAGTCTGACTGACCTAAAGGTTTATAATTGTGATTGCAGCATGAGCTAAATACAGGATTTGTTTTTGTTTGAGAATCTGAGGCAACGTTACCAAGTTATTTTGAGTGAAATTTTGCCATCAAATTTTTGGAGCTCCCAACACTTTGGAGTGGCTTTAAGCTGTCATCAGTCAGCTATGTGTTATCAGTGCTGGTTTGCAAAAATGACAAGAAATATGACTTATATGAGCATATTTCTTGGCTGGGAATGGGATAAAGCTTCAATTTATCTGCCAAGAAATGAACATCAATTGGCAATCAAAGCTTTTGTTTGGATGACATCTGAGCTGCATGGGGCAGATGAGGGGTTCAGTGCAAGAAAGTGCTATAAACGCTCACTTTTGGGAATACGAATTACATGTATCGGCATCATTACCCCTTTATAAGTTTAATAAACCTGGATAAAAGTACATTTTAATTTGAATGATCAGGGCCTTGTAACAGAAAAAATTGACAGAGAGTTAGGAGTAAAAAGGCACCAAAAAATCTACATGTAGATATCCTTTTAATTATTTTTCTTCTAATATTTAATATTGTGCCCTCTCTCTTTCAAAATCTAGTATCTTTGTCTGCATGTAATCATTCCTTGACTTGTGTTACCATAAACATTTCCAAATGCTTTTATCTTGGAATGACGCGCTTGTGGGTTAGCACCATATTGCATTATCCCCCCATAATTGGATTATTATCTATTTGTTATTATGATTGGATCAATTCCAGACTTTCATCTAGGTCGCACGAATAACAAGAATGCAATTTTTTTCAGTCGATGTTGATTAGGGATTGTGTCAGAATAATACAGTATTCTTTGGATATTCTACCCACATTTTATCATGTTACATAGTTAACACCCATCTGGCTATAAACATGATTTAATGTGTACATAATAGGCAATTAAAGCCTTGCTCACACATGCTTTAATTTGGGGAGGGAAATTGGCTCAGTCGGTATTAACATCTGCCTGTCGAACCAAAGATATTGGGTTCGAATCCAACCCAGGCAGATGACTGAAGCCAAAGTGTGACTGTGTGTTAACGTGCCCCTCCCCTGTAATATACACAGGCTGTGTTACAGTGGAAAACATTCCACCCCTTGGATAGGACGTTAAATGGAGGTCCGGTGTGGAGGAGAGTCACCACCTTTGCTCTTTACATGTATATGTAAGAACCCACTGCGCTATTCATATACGAGCAGGGGGGAAACCCTGGTGTAGTGGTCAACTTGGTGTCACAAAATACTTAATAATAATAAAACAACCAGAAATGAAAACCTTGACAAATTACAATGACAAAATGTAGTTCACTTTTGTTTCTTCTAACTTAAAGATGAGAAAGTACAACATCTGCTGTTCATTTACACATCAAATGTTTTATAAATTGCAAGTTTTTTTAATATTTTTTAAAAGCAGGTAACAACTAACATATACAGTCATGAGTCATCTGTGAAGGACGCCATTTTGTACCAGTATCACTTTCGTACTCAACCTTTAATTTCTACCCACATTAATTTTATGATCCATGAAAACCATTGTTGAAAAAATATAAGCCAAGGATGTTTATAAAGAACACAATAAATCAATGCCAACTCAACTCATCATTTTCTTTTTTCCATTACAGTACAGCACAGTTCTTGGTCTGATGTTGCTTCTAGAAATCGGAGGAGGAGTTGCTATCTATTTCTACAGAAATCAAGTAAGTACATTTACGGGTAACATGTTGAGGTGCTCCAAATATCCACTAGGCTTTGCTTATTCTTGACTGACCTGTATAAAATATCATAGCACCTACCATAATACTGGTATGTCAACTTTGATTCTGGTAGTCTACTTTTATTTCCCGAAAATATAACATCTCATTTCGAGGTGCGCTGTAAAGTGCATCTTGTGCTCAATTTTCAGAAATGTTCCTTTAGTTGATGAAGTGGAGTATGGAATGATATAGACTGTGAAATCGGTCTATTTCGTTCGGTGATACACTATGTTCCACTGAGACTATGTCTGGTTTCATTGAGAGGAGAGCATCAAAAGACCAAATATGTTAGAAAGTTCCTCCAAGCAGATGGATTTTCTGTCTAGGAATGTGATGAATGCACATATTTAGTTTGACTTTAGGCTTGAATTATCTGTTTCTTCAAGCTAGGACGTAAAAGGAAAAGGACTTGTCATGGATTTCCCCACCTATGACAGCGTGTGAGTTGCTCCTCCTCACTCTTGCATAAATGCTGTTTTACCTTCCTTTCCACTGTGTAATGTGTATATGTTGTAAGGTGGAGAATTCATGATATATCGATTAGAAGCGTCTGGAGCAGAGCCCATATGAAATTGAACATTTATGTATGCATGAATTTTAAATTATGCATGTGTACATACATGTAGACGAGGTGAGATCACACACACACTGTAATAATAATAATAAAAACGGTGCTTATAAAGCGCTTACATGTACATGTCCCACCGAAGTCTCTAAGTGCCCATGTGACCGCCTGGTGTAGACCTATTCCATACATTACCTGTTTGCTAAAAAAATATGCTTGTCATTGTTAAGACTTTTGACAAGATGGAATTAATTTAGAAGGGAAAAGGGAAAGAAGAGAGAGAGAGAGAGAGAGAGAAAGAGAGAGAGACAGGGAGAGATAGAGAGAGAGAGATGGAGAGATAGAGAGAGAGAGAGAGAGAGAGAGAGAGAGAGAGAGAGGAGGGAAGAGAAGAAAATGGAAATGGAAATGGGATGTCATGAAGGATGCTGTTTTGGTGATAGTGATTACAGAATACAAAAGAGGAAAATCTCGAGACATGGAATAGAAGATAAAAAGGAAAATAGCAGAAAAGATATGAATTGTTTGCAGAAGAGATTAAGAGTGCTACTGATTTATTTCTGAAAGTAGAGAGGGAAATCTGGCATATCACCAGCTACAAATTTATGGGAAACAATCTTAATTCATTAATTAATGCGATAAAAGTGAAAGGGGACAGATTTGGAGCAAAAGTTCAGTGTTGGCCTTGCCGGTATTATAGAATCCTACTTTTGGAGCAAAGTCAAAAATACCCCCTGACTTTTATAGCATGCACACCTTTGCAGGAAGTTGAAACGTAGTTTCCTAATTTTCAGGAAGTTTGATATTGCCCCAGACCTGTAAAGCAGTGTGAGTGAGCTGAAAGGGGCAATCTGAGTTCTCCCCTTTGGATAAATCCATTTTTAGATTTGTGGGAAATATGAATTTTAGATTGTGAGATATGCATCTTGCATGAGCCTCACCTTGCGATCAAACTACCTGAATACATTGTACAGCTATGTGATAATCATGCTCATGTAGCTATGCGATAAGTAAATATTTGTCCCTAGTTGTGTAAAGGAAAATTTCTTTTATGTCCATTGAAACGCTTGTTTGAGCGTTGTTTGGAACAAAAACTTGGTCAAATTGTATAACTTAGAGAGTTGTGCCTATTGTGCACGCACACACTTGATTGACCAGCATTCATGTCATATGCCCTCATCCAAACATATCGTCCTTGTTTTTAACGAAGTGACGGTAGTGAGGAAAATCGTCACGCCAAGTGAATGCAATTTTTTTTCACTACCGTCACTTCGTGAAAACAGCGACGATATTATATGTCTTTATATGATTTGTTTTTCTATTCTGTATGCTCCTTTCGTTGTACAAACACAAACAAACGAACAAACAAACGAACAAACAAACAGGTTATGTTGCTATCATGTCTATCAACTCGACATCATGCTGATAGAGATGCTTGTGTTATTGAGAGCAAGGTAGCGGTCGGATGTACGTCAACTGCTATTTAATAACGGACATTGCGCTAAGCTTCTCTCTCATTGTTAGGGGGACCTAACATAGTCGTGAACTATCAGCAACACACAGCACAGTGTGGTTTGGATAATAAGCTCATTGCCTGTACATAATTGTTTTAAAACCCCTAAAGGCTACTAGTACTAGCCATCAATGTTGGAAAGCGTGTGTCTGTGTGTGTGTCTGTGTGTTGGGGGGGGGGGCAGGGCACACCCCCCTCCCGTCTTCATTCTCACTTTTGCCAACTCTGTATACAGTAGATGTTAATTTTCAAGTTAAGAGGTTTGGTTGTACAGTTAGTTTGTCTTGTGTTTCTTACTTTCTTTCATGGTTTTATTTGTTTTTAAAGTCAATAGCACTTTGATCCGTATATCTGTCGGATTAGTCCTCCATTGAGACAGTCTTCTTCTACGCTGCCACTCTATACATTGTAGGTCCATGCAGTGGTGTATAATTGTTTACAAATCTTTGCCATGCAATTTCATGGCAAAGGAAATTGACTCACAACTAGGCAGAACAAAAGTCCAGTCTGTATAATGAGTAAAGAATTAAGAATAACCTTGCCCCCACATGACTAAAAATGTCCACAGTGACGTATGTGTCAGGGAACATGTAAATCCTTTGTGGGGTTAGATAAAACTAAAGCTAGAATGCTGCTTTAATACTTGAGATTACTTGTAGATTTTTGGTGATTGCTAATTGAGATTTGAATCATGATCAAAATATCACTTCTTCTCTTGTCTTGTGTGCACTGTGTGAGTAGCCCTGATATAATCAGCTCCACCTGTAGGCTGTACACCTCTGCTTTCACGATACACAGTCATGTGACAGGCTAAAGGAAAGCAAAAACAGGAAAATAACCCCAACTCCACAATTACTTTGCACAAAAAGAAATACATGTACCAGTTGTTCCTATTCCCTCTCTGCATTTAGTATCGTGTACATACTGTATGCAACATATGAAATTATGGTTTAAAGAAGTTTATACATGTAGGCAGCCTGATATTACCATCAGGGGGGGGGGGGGGGGAGTGGGAAGGAGGGAGGGTGAGGGAGAGGGAGGGAGGAAGAGAGAGGGAGGAAGGGGAGGGATGGAGGGGGTGGGATGGAGGAGAGGGTAAAGGAAGGGGGAAGGAGGGAGGGGGGGGGGGGGGGGAAAGGAAGGGGGTGGGAGGGAGGGGGCTGGAGAGAGATGGTAGAACGATTTATACATGTAGATAGATAGAGAGAGAGTGCGAACATCAATCACCAATATGAATGATAGCTCGATCTCTCTCTTTCCACAATTTTATTTTTTGTATAAAAAAGGTCCTGCTTAGAATCTGATTGTGCGGATAACTGAAACGGTATATTCCTGTTTCAGTGGTGTGCGATGTTATCTGGTTACCTAGCAACAGAGAGAACATATTTCCTTTCTTGGGAATCTCCAGTATGGAAAAAGAAATAACAAGATCATTATAATTGATAATCATAATTGCAGCCAGTTTGCAGGGACCTCGGGAAGAACAGCAGTACGTGATAGCTGGGTTTCGGCTGTTTGTATTCTGTAATTGTTTTAGATGATTTGTATCAATAATGATTTAAAGGAAAAAGAAAAGAAAAAAAGAACAGTATTGAGGCTGATGAGTCTTCCCTGGGTAAACAAAAGCATTATTATTACGATGTAAATATACATGTATGACTGGCAGAAAGGTGAGAGCATTGCGCCATTTTGCTAGATTTGGATGCGTACAGAAGGTTCAAGGATTGAAATACAAAACTTATGTAGTCAAACTATAGACAGTCTTTTTTTTTTTGTTAGTCAATACAAAATTTAAACAAAGGCATAATATTTAACATGTGGAGCTGTCACAACTTAAGAAGAGAGGCATCAGAAATTTGCTTACTGGCATGAGCGCATGCTAATGAAGTCTTGTCAGAGGCATGACGATATCGTAAAGCTTTAATATATCCCCCATTTTACCAAAGCTCAACCTTCTGTTTACTGGTAATCATTTCAAACCAGAGTATGCCGCGCTAAAGCCGTAGTACAGATATGTTGATCACATTAAATGTCAAGGTAGAACTATCGAAAATGATAATCATGACTTTGACTTGTCGCTCCTGATCACACTACCTGAAAAGTGAGATATGGATGGGGCGAAGGTCGTAGGATAATTACTGTAATTAACCTTTCAAAGGCCTCTTTCACACCAAAAAAGCCACTGGAATAGGAAAGGTATACATAATGGAGAATTGTAGATAGTATACAAATATACACTGCCTTGAGAGGTTCTGGTTAAAACTATGCGCAAGAGGTGACTCCAATACTTTTGGAGTCACCGAGGCCCATAGTTTAACCAGTACCTCGAAATAGAAGGCATGGTATATTTGTTTTATATCCTGCATCAACAATTTATTTAAAAATAAAAACAAATAAAAACAGAGTATTTTGGGGGGAAAAAAAATTTTAGAACAAAAAAAATGTCAATTTGTATCTAAAAAGATTTAAAATATTTTATTTTCATTAAATTAAGATTTGAAAAAAAAAAATGGATTCAATTCAAAAAAAAAATCACACTTTTTTCTTCAACTCCCAAATAGTAAACCAAAATAGTACTCTCATATAGTACTTTCTAAAAATAGGCCAAATATTTTTGGTCATGTGACAAGCTCTCAACCAATCAAAAGCCAACAAATTTTTGATGCAGGATATAAAAAGAAATAACAAATAAACCCAAAACAACATTTTGACAGTTTGTAGCCAAAAGGGCATTAAATCATATACTTTAACATACATGTAGTTCACACCCTTCTAGCTCTGAACAGACAGTTTACATTTGACATTTGACATTTGACATTTGACATTTGTAGGCCTACAGTATGTGTAAAATAGCAAATGGATGGA